TTGATGCATTCAGGAACACTGGGCTGAAATGGCTATTTCACGGCCAACATCCGCTGCTAGACATGTCACACATGGCAGTGTTGATGTCTCTATGGCGATCCTATCACATATGCAACGAGACCACAAACGAGAAGTACCCCCTCCTAGTGGAAGCATCGTAGAGATTTTTACATGGCTATATTGCCCCGCTCCTTTGCATTCAACAACACCCCTAGACAGACTTAACAAAGGGGAAGATGGTCATTTGCTCCCCGACATTGCATGCAGCTGGTATAGCCGGGCATGGAAAGGCAAGAACTCGCGTTGCTGTACCGCTTGATGAGAATTGGGAGCCTTCGTCTGCGGGTTGGCTCAAACTCAACATGGATGTGCCTTCTCGAAACATGCTGGGAATGGTGGTGCAGGTATGGTGCTACGAGATAACGCAAGACACGTCATCCTTAGCTCGTGCAGATACCTCTTCACAGGTGATAATGCACTGGTGGCTGAGTTAGAAGCTTGTAGAGAGGGTGTCGTGCTTGCTCTGAAATGGAGCTCATTACCTTTCATATTAGAAATAGATTGTTTGTAGGCTACGGTGATGATTAGTCACGAGACCACAAGTAGATCCTGTGATGTTTTCCTTGTTCAAGAGATCAATGCCCTCATTAGGGGAGAGAGGACGACATTAGTGAATGCTCAGGCATACAAAAAATTGTGTTAGTCATGAGCTAGCTAGGATTGGTCGTGTTGATGTTAAAACTCCATTCTGGTTGAGGTCTGGCCCATATGGTGTCTTAAAGCTTTGTGAACTGGATCACGCTTATGCAGGTTGAGTTAATGGTTCTCCCCGCAAAAAGAAAAACTAAACGAGTCCACTAGAGCGACACTTGGGGCGAGGTTCCTTCTGTCTCGCACCAGGAAGACACAAAGGCACTACTTTCTCTTGCTTATAGTGAGGCAGAGTGTTTCCCTCGCCTCAGTGTAGTCCCTAAATGGGCCAACCAATAATCACACATGTACACGTAGGCACGTACATTAGTTTTTGTTTATTTCCATCCCAAAAAACTTTTTGTTTATTTCTATTTATATTTTCATAAATATTATAAATGCATATATTGCAAAAAAATGAACTTAAAAATGCTGTTCACCATGAATTCATTTTTCAACGCGACATAAATATTTTGTTAGCATAATTTAAAAAGAGATGTTGATATCATTCAAACTAAATGTTTGTGACATTTAACAAACGTTCATGCATTTCAGAAAAATGTACGTGCATTTTCTAAAAATGTTATCCAATGTAAAATAAAGGTTTGGTACCGTTCAAAAATACATATGTTACTTTAAAAATATGCACGTGTTTCATAAATATGCTCGTGACATTTTAAAAATATCTTTATACATTTTACAAGATATTGACCCTCCCTGACCCAGCAAAATTGTCCAACGTTACGCTAGGACTATATCTCGCCTGACGGGAGCCTTAAGCTAGTATCGCTGTAGTTTACTGGACCGGCTCGTGTTGGTGTTTTTTCGTTGCTCGCTCGTGTGTGTTCGTTCGTTCGGGTTTCCTTCGCTCGCTCTACAGTTGGTTTTTCTTTCTTCTCTCTAACTATTGGTTGCACTGGTCTGGTTTTCATCTGTTTTGTTGTTTCTTTCCTTTTCTGTGCTTTTCTTTATGGTTTTCGTTGGGTTTTTTCTTTTCTTTGTTTTCTCAGTTTCCTGTCAGTTTTACTGTTTTCTTCCTACCTTATTTACGATTTTCTTTGCTTTTCAATGGTTTTTCTTGTTTTCCTACTGGTTTCGTTTTTCTCTTTATCTTCCTTCTTTGGTTTTGACCGATTTTCCTCTTTTTAATATCTTTCAACCGATTTTCTTTGTTTTTTGCCCTTTGCCTTTTTTTTTCCTTCATTTGGTTTTCACCTGCTTTCTTCGTTTTTTATGTTTCTCTCTGGTTTTGTTCTCCTTTCTTTACTTTTCAAACGCATGTCTAGTTTTTCCACATACAATGTACATTTTTCTTGTACATTAGAAGCATTTTTTTAACAATGTTTACCTTTTCCATGCACAATGCAATTTTTTGTATACATATGAAATATTCTTCTTATACAAGTTTAATATTTTTAAAATTCATGACTACATTTTAAAAAATATATGTTTTGATGTCTAATTTTTTTATATGCAGTGCACATTTTTTATACATAATGAACATTTTTTATAAATATTGAACAGATTTCAAATACTTGATTAATTTCTTGGAAACTATATATTCTGATGTCTACTTTTTTTCATGAACGTTGTACATTTTTTCTATACAACTAAAACATTATTTTTGTACATATTCAACATTTTTAAAATACGAGATTAACATGTTTTTAAATATATGTTTTTGATGTCTAAATTTTGCATATACATCTTAAAAAATTGTTTATGACGTTTAAAATTTTGCAAATACGTGATTGAGATTATTTTTCAAACATTTTTCTGAATACATGTTAAACATTTTTGAAATACATGCTCAAACATTTTCTCCAAATGTTATCAACATTTATTAAAAGTTGCACCAACATTTTTGTAACACATGACACACATTTTTAAAAAAATTAAGCAATTGTGTAAGAATTATATGCATTTTAGAATTTTGAAAATATAACAAAAAGTTAAAATAGAAGGAATCCGCGTGTGC